CAAATAGTAAATTTCCTGTACGAGTCTCTCTCTCTTTTTTTTTGTGTCGCATTTCTCTGCTTTGATTATGAGTATGTGATAAAAGAAATAATATACCACACGAAAAGAATTGTGCATTATTTTGAACTTAACAAAAAATAGGAATCGACTAGATCCCAGCTCAGAATTCAGATAAAAAAAGTGAAGGAGGTCTTCAAACTGTGGTCGTAATAGAAACTGGCCTATGGAAAAGTTCTGGGATTTTAGTTGGATGTGCGTGTGGGGGTGTGAGTTTGAAGAACAAATAATACCAGCACCGACACCCACACCCACATCTGGTCGTGGTATGCTCATCAAAAAAACAAAATTTTTGGATCAGTTGTTTGAATACTAGCCACTGGATAAGATTTTGTAGCTAAATCGAAAAACTAGTTAGTTTTGTGGTAGCTTTGCACACCCCCAGGATTGAGACGATGTAGGTGTGGATGTATTTGTCTTCTTTGCATCAACAACCACACCTAAAAGATCTTGAAACTTAAATAGGTATTAGGTGATGAAATGCGAGATATTTAAAAAACAGAGCCAGTCTTTTGATTACCTTCAGCTTTCCTCAAATAGTTAATGGCGACTAGAAACGTAGTTGTCGAAGTAAAATCAGGGTATGAGTGTAGATGCAAACATCATCAACACCTACACTCTATATTCCCCCTAACAGAGATAAAACATGTGATAACAGCTGTAACTCATCCGATCGACCTAACATGGACAAATGAGTTATTTTTGTTAGGCGCTTAGGGAATTCCACATCGAGTAGTCTACTCAAACGTAAAATCAAATGGATTCCCGGTTGAAATGGAGATGGCTGAAGCACTTCAATGACAATTCATTCAGCCTATGTAACTTCAACAAATCGTTTGTTTCATTTAACTATAATTTATTCATCTCACAGATGATTATATTAGATTGAAACAACAATAAATCAGTATTGTCTTTGTCGATAGTGGAATTTTTTTCACTCGTCAAAATGTCGGTAGAACTTATTTCATCAATTATTCGTTTGATCATGCGATTCAAAATTCTACAATTTAATTTATTTTCAAATAAAATTAAAAGAATTTTTTGCAAAAACTCCTATTGTTCGTCAAATTTCATTTTATGACAATAATCAATTTCGGTTTGAATCAACATAGAATGTTTGTACTCGATGATTGCCTTGATCAACAACACAGAGGTTACCTTGCCGATTGAACGATAAACCATTGGGGCTATTAAGTTCATTTGGTTGTTCTCCTTTCCCATTTCCACCAACGACAATAGAACAATCTTTAGATTCTTTTGACCAACGCATTATTCGATGATTCCGACAATCACTCACATAGATACGACCCAATTGATCGACGATCACTCCTGCAGGACGAGACAGTTGCGTCAGATCGTCCCCTTCACCTTGCCCACCAGCAACTACAATTCCTTCTTTAGCACCTTTCATCCATTTCATCACACGATGATTGTTCTCATCCGATATATAGATTGCATAATCTTGATCAACGAAGATATGAGTAGGACTATCCAATTGATTGAGTTGACATCCTTTTCCATTTCCACCGGCTATGATTGTTCCATCTCTTTGTCCTTTTTTCCAACGTCTCACTTCATGCTTCTCAATATCAGAGACATAAAGATCCCCATCATTATCCATTGCTAGATGAGAACATCGAATGTTCGAGATAATAATTACTACATTTGTACCATTTCGACGAGACCATCTTACCACTCGTCTGTTTCCCCAGTCACAAATTATAACAGAATCATTCTTCTTGTCAACAATCATATCTGTTGGAAAACTTAATTGATCTATACGATTGATATTTCTATTTGTATTGGTAACAAATTAACGATTCTTTGGAT